TATGTATATCGATAATTATCGATGATTAGCTACTTATAGTTTGTATTCTATATTATTATGATTAGTCATGCATTCCTGTTATATAAACTAATATTTGATAAATAGAACGTAGGCAAGATAAGCTCAAACATGTAGACTAGCCTCTAAATAGAAGCTACATAAAAACTAAAAGAAAAACTATTACACACACACACAACCAAAAAGGAAAATCGCAACCGGCATGAGCTCTAAAGGAACATTTGATTCGATTCTATTGGATTGAAGAGCGACACATATATATTATGTTTTAATAATGAATGCTTGAATGGTACGAGCTACTTTCAAAGCTGTTTCCCAAAAAACAATACTAATGAAAATTGAGGAAATAATAGTAAAACAGTTTTCGAATTTCATTTTGCAAGACTTTTGTTCCTTTATACGATATTTCTCAAAAAATATCAAATCTAAGCTAAAGCAAAATGTTTTATAGAAAATCTGTTCGAACGACAAACAATTCCATATATGAATTATAATTTTATGTAGTACATTTATATATGTATAACTATCTATATACATACATATATATATATTTGTAGTGAATATTTAACGAACTATGTCTTTATGCAGCATTTAAGAATACTTTTTTTTCGTTTACCAGATTGAAAAAATGCTTTCGATATTTCCGAGCCAATTATAAAAAAAGTAGTAGATGAAGATAATGAAAATATTGTTTGTTAAGTTTTAATTTAATTTAAGTGCATTACCACAACTACAACGACGACGACGACAACAATATGATTTACTTTGCAGCAAAGATTTTTGTTTGATTTATTATGATTTACAATTTGAATTTAAACATTTTATAGTGCAATTTTTTGGCATACCCTAAATATTTCTTGTTTTTAAACCAACAATCAATTATTAATTAATTATATTATAAATATTTGTATGAGTCATTTTTAGTTTTTAAAGTTAGTTGAATTTAGCACATGAATACGACGAAAGGCAAAACAAATCAATATGATGAAGGTTTACTTAAGCGGAAAATTTGTCACGTTTTATTGATTTCCTATCTGAGAAGATTCATATATATTGTATAATTACTTTAGCTATTTTAATGTACATAAATCACATGAGGACGAAGTTGTGCAATTGTTAGTAAAATTTTTATAAAAAAAACTAAAGAGAAAAACAAAAATCTAGACAAAATTAACAATTTGAAACAAAAGTTACATTTGTGCAATGGAAAAATTTGATTCGAATGCGTTGAAGCAAATTGAGAAATGCAAAATATATTTACACAAATATATGTATACACAAATGATATATGCATGATATATTTATATATAATGTGTACATATATAAATATGACCATACGTTATTTTTGGCTATAACATTTTTAGCGCATACAAAAGAAAAAAAATATATAATAAAAAAAATTGTAAAACATTTAATTGGGCAAAGTAAAAGTGCAATTCCAAATAAATTTGATGCAACCATAACGACAACAAAAACTTGTGTAATTTTACTTTAATGGGCTCATAAAAATGTTTGTATCTACTCCACACAGCCGAGAAAGGGAAAAAGAGGAAACGGAGTAGTCTTTGCAAACAATGTTAGATAATTATAATTTCTGATAAAAAATGCAATTCAAATTCCCGCTTTGCTTTTAAATTAAAGTATCGTAAGAATAAATCGATAGACAATACTACAGTAACAGCTCTGAGCTATCGATATATTATGGAAAGCAATACTTTTTAGGTCTGCAACATTTACTGTGCCAGCAACATTTGAGCAGTGCTCGATAACGCAAGTTATAAGAAAGACAGACGAAACTAAGCAAGGAAGCAGTGAAGCAGAACAAAGTAAAACATCAGAACTGTTTAACATTTAATATGGGAAAGAAAAACAGTACGTGCAGTCAATAATGCGATATGTATTGATAGCAATACACTCAAGTGCTATTAAGTTATATATATGTAATTTTATTTTCAGAATATAAGAAGGAAGAACCAGCTCCAGCGCAACAGCAACAAGGTAAGTTATTGAAAATTGTGAAATGCATTGCGATGTGCGTATGTGTGCATGTGTGTGTAACTATTTTGCGGTATATGTTCATTGTGTATGTGTGTTTGTGTAATTGTATATACTCGAAACATACATGTATGTATGCATTTATATGCAATAAGTCTAGAAGTTGSGTATTACTTTATTTTATATGTGGGGGAATAACACGATTATATTTTCTCTTGTACACCTACCAGACCTGCCATTAAGGCTACATTGTTATCAGAAAATTTTATTCGCGTTATCAGAATATGGATTGAAACGCAAGGGGAATCACAAAACTTGAACACAACAAACACGTCATCGGTAATTGAATTTCTTTAACAATCGTATTCAATTTTAGCTGCTGCAGATTCTGGACCTGGAGAGAGCACATCTCGGCTGCAAGCTGGTGATACAAGAGGGCCAGGACCACAACGTTCCAATCAGCCCGCACAGGGTAGTGGGCATCAGCGTCCTGCTAGCGCTCAACCATCGCAATATCGGCCGCAGCAGGCAGGACAACAAGAGCAAGGCTGGAGTAGGGCTGGCCCATCGGGTGCCCAGCAGCAAGGTGGTAATCAGAGTGGTCCGCCAAAACGCCCGCAAGGCGGACAACAAGGTGGACCTCAAAGTGGCTATCAGCAGCGCGGCCCACCAGGCGGCCAACAGCAGCGTGGTCCTCCGGGCCGACAAGGGGGCTATGACCAGCGATCACAGGCTGGCGCCATGGGCCCGCCTCTGCCCCAAACAGGCAACATCAAACGTGGCACTCTGGGTCGCGCTGGTTTTGTGGACATCAACTATTTGGATGTGGACATCTCGAAGATGCCAGAYATTGCCTATCACTATGATGTCTCTATTGTACCCGAACGTCCAAAGAAATTCTATCGCAACGCCTTCGAAGAGTTCCGCACAAAGCATTTGAATAACGCCATTGCCGCCTTTGATGGACGCAAGTCGTGCTACAGCGTGGACAAGCTCCAAAATACAACCGGCGAAGTGCAGGCAAGCGAAAACTATAGCTTTTATCTGATCCATTTATTTGACTACCCAACTTGTTTTTGTACAGGTTGTAGATCGTCATGGCCGCACTGTCCGCTATACATTGACCATCAAGGAGACGGATAATTCGGAGGTGGAGCTCAGCTCACTCCGCAGCTATATGAATGATAAGATTTATGACAAGCCGATGCGTGCACTGCAGTGTCTGGAGGTGGTGYTTGCCGCGCCATGCCATTCGACTGCCATACGTGCGGGTCGCTCATTCTTCAAGAACTCTAACGACGGCGAGCGTTACGAGCTTGGAGACGGCTATGAGGCTTTGGTTGGACTGTATCAGAGCTTTGTGCTGGGCGATAGGCCATTTGTGAATGTCGATGTCTCACACAAATCGTTTCCAATCGCTATGCCTATGATTGAGTACCTAGAGCGCTTCGCGCTTAGGTCAAAAATAAATCCACAATCAATACTGGGCAACACTTATCAGTTAATGAACTTCATAAAGGGCATTAATATCGTGTACGAGGCACCGGCCAGCTTTGCGACTGCACCGCGCGTCTACAAAGTGAACGGACTGTCACCACAGCCAGCCAACGAGCAAAAATTCAAACTGGACGACAAAACGATGACCGTCAGTGAATACTTTCGTTCACGCAATTACAATTTGAAATATCCCAAGCTGCATTGTCTCCACGTGGGCCCACCAGCAAAGAACATCTACTTGCCCATTGAACTATGCCGCATCGAGGAGGGACAGGCCCTAAATGTGAGTAATATAATGAAAACACACCCTGACATCCATCGAAATATATTTATCCTCTATTGACAATGCAGCGCAAGGATGGCGCAAATCAGGTTTCAGAAATGATACGCTTTGCAGCCACATCAACCGACGAGCGCAAGAAAAAAATCATGGATCTATTGAAATACTTTCATCACAATGCTGATCTGACTATCAGTCGATTTGGTATACGCATCAGCTCTGATTTTATTACGGTGAATAGTCGCCTGCTGACTGCGCCGCAGCTGGAGTACAGGAATAGTAAATTCGCATTTCCCTCAAACGGAGCATGGCGCATGGACAAATGTCAATTTTTAAAGCCAACGCCAAAGGCTCATAAGTGGGCCATACTCCACTGCGAGGGAGCACGTCTGCTCTATAACAAAGTTTGCGAATTCGAGAAAATGGTGAGAGTAGTCTCGGAGTAATGCCTGCAGCATTTACACACATAATCATATATRTATTCTGTAGGTTGTTAACCAATGTAACGATGTGAATGTTAGCTTGGAGCCCAGAGCAGAGATTCGTACTTTCAAAGACGAACGCAACTTGGATGATCATTTCAAGGAGCTGAAACTCAATCGATTTGATTTAGTCTTTGTTATCATACCATCACGGGGAGCCASCTATGAAGTCATCAAGCAAAAAGCCGAACTGCAACATGGCATATTGACRCAGTGCATCAAGCACAATAATGTGGACCGTCGTCTCAATGCACAGTTGGTTGGAAACATTCTTTTGAAGGTCAATTCCAAGCTCAACGGCATCAATCACAAGCTCAAGGATGATCCACGTACACAGCTCACGAATGTCATGTATTTGGGTGCCGATGTCACTCATCCTTCACCGGATCAACGCGATATACCCAGTGTGGTGGGTGTGGCCGCATCACACGACGCTTACGGCGGCTCATTCAACATGCAATATAGATTGCAATGCGGGGCCGGCGGCAGAGCAGCCGAGGAAATATTAGACATGGAGTCCATTGTAACGGAACACTTGCGTGTGTACAAAGAGCATCAGAAGCGCTATCCGGACCATATAATATATTATCGTGAYGGCGTCAGCGATGGCCAATTCATGAAGATCAAGAACATTGAACTGAAGGGCATTTACGTGGCTTGCACCAAGGTTAAGCTCCTATTGGTTTAAAGTTGTCGACAAAGTTAAAGCTATTCTCTTGGTTTCCAGTTGGGCATTAAGCCAAAGATGTGCTGCATTATTGTGGTGAAGCGTCATCATACTCGATTCTTTCCAAAGGGGCAGCCGCATCCAAGAAATAAATTCAACAACGTTGAGCCCGGCACTGTAGTCGACCGCACCATTGTTCACCCGAACGAGATGCAATTCTTCATGGTCAGCCATCAGTCCATTCAGGGCACTGCGAAGCCCACACGCTACAACGTTATTGAGAACACGGGCAACCTAGATATTGATCTATTGCAGCAATTGACCTACAATTTGTGCCACATGTTTCCACGTTGCAATCGCTCCGTCTCATACCCAGCTCCAGCCTATTTGGCTCACTTGGCTGCAGCACGAGGACGCGTCTACATCTATGGGTGAGCAGCACAATAGATTTCAGACATGCTCATGTCACTAATTGTACTGTTTATTTCTTGATATTTAATGACAGATCTCGTCTATGCCGCTCGCCAGAGGAGGAATATAAACGCCGTCTGATTGTGCCCGATTTTCTGAAAACGAATCCCATGTATTTCGTTTAAAAAAAAACAAATTATCATATAAAATAACTCCCAAAAATATGCGTTATATTCATTGAATTTTCTTTTTATTTTATCACATTTTTTAAACTATATAAATTACATGCATAATCAGTTTTAAATAGAAGCAACTGTCTATGCGTAACTTGTTTTGTAATAATTAAAACAACTCTGGTTTGTGAAGCTATGTTAACAAATTAAAGAGATTATATATAAAATAATAAAGCGACTGCAATTGGTTCAATCGGAATTGCTAATATTGTTTTCTCTTTTTTTTTTTGCACTGCTTTTTACATCGCATCAAAATGGAATCTATGTGACTCTTGCAAGCGCTCCTGCCTGTCTTCGCGCTTCTCCTTAACATACAGAACCAATATGATGAGCACAATCACGAGACAAGTGCCGCCCAATGCGACAACGCTCATCAGGATCAGTTTGCTGGGCGTGACGAAGAGCAGCGCCTTCCAGTGCTGTGGCTGATCGAGCGGCTTAGGCACCACTATGATCTGCGAGTTGGGTATGAGCTGTGTCCAGCTGTGCCACTTGCCATAGAGACCCACGACCAGCTGATCYACAAAGTTGGGCGTGCGACCGAGGCCGAAGCACGTGTAGGGCAGCTGGAGCGCAAAATAGGATGATTGAGGAAGTTGGACACTGCTGCCACTTTGCTGATCGCCATCCTGCGTGGTTGTGTTGTACGTGATGATCGGACCAGGCAGATTGCTGCCATACGTGCGCTTCTTTCGACCCAACGGCGTGCGCAGTGTGGGATTTAGGACATTCACCAAACCAGTCAACACAATCACCTTCACGAAGTTGGCGTCGTAGTCGAGGGTGTTGCGGAACGCAAGTGGACGATAATTGCCATTCTGCTGCTTCTCCATAAGTATCACATCCAGCACACCATCCTGGTAGAAGTCATAGAAGGCACCAGCTACTGTATTATTGCCCATGGGCGCCAAAGCTGTCCAGTGCACTTCGAAGGTGCGCTTGAATTTCTTGCTGCACGTCTTGCAGGCGACATTCTCTAGGAGGAACGTTTGCATCACAGGCTTTGCCACACTCAACGGTTGAAGGGTGACAAGCAAATCGGGATAGCCATCAAGATTGAAGTCACCACTGCGGGCAGTGATGGTCTTCAAATACACATCTTTCGGGTCTGGCGGTACAAATCCCCAAGTTACGCCATGCGGATCCTTGAAGTTCACATGGACATCGTAGAACATGTGTCCATCGTGCACAAATATTGTCGAATTTTTGCAATTTTCCTGCACGCAAAACGGTACGACAATATTTTGCACGCCACGTAGCTCGAAGTCCATGAAAACTGCTTGGCCCACAACGTAGTCGTTAGAGCCCACCAGCTCGTAGGTGATGGAATTCTGATAGCTAAAGTTCTCCTGACCATCTTTCTCATTGATCCCATACCAAATCTCATAGGAGGTCTTCGTTTGTAGAAACAAATCAGCCAGATAATCGCCATTTAAATCCAAATATGCATTCGCGTTCGGGATGATCAGAGTTTGAGCTGTGCCCCCAGTGGGCATGGCTTGATGCACGACCTTTGGTGGCTCCCGTTTGCTATTAAAGATCCAGAAACTGCGCGTATCATTCGGATCTAATCCATACAGATCAATGATCATATCTCGATTGAAGTCGAGAGCCATTGCCTCGCCCTTTGTTTGGATAACGGGTTTTTTTGAACAATTCAACATTGTGGTGTTGCCCCAACTGATATAGACGTCATAGATATTCTTGCTTCTCTCCACATTGACCATAACATCCATCAAGGCATCGCCATCAAAGTCTCCAGGTGTAACGCTTACAATCCTTCTGTCATTAAAGTTGCAGAAAGGACCCAGACGCAATAGTGGTTCCGTATCAGCTCCTGTTGAGCATAATAATTATCAGACATTCATTAAGTTCAAGAATAATTTACTATAACATATTTCATTTATAAGAGCATCATCTATGGCATTGAGAATTTTCACAAATGATTAAACACAATTATATTACTTTCATAACTCTCAAATTGTGTAGCATATACGCACCATATAATATTTGTAGAATTTTTCTGTCATCTTGAATGACGAATATGTCAGTAAGTTCATCGGAATTAAAGTCACCAAAAGCTGCCACAACACCTTCCTTAACATTCCCAAACACAATATTTGTGATATCACTGGCGTGGATTACGGCTGCATAGAGCAGCACCAGAACCAGACATTGGGAATGCATCTGGTTGATTTTCCCTAATTTTACACTAAGGATTTGCGTCTGCTATTGTGTTTTTTTCTTATTATCTTTTGTTGTTGGTCTCTGAAAATCAATACTGAGTCAGATGTAAATTATCGATAGACATTAAAGTGTTGCCACTTGCGGTGCTGCCAAATCTTTACGAATAAATCGATACATAAGGCATCTCTGGGTTTCGACGTTCGGAACATCAACGCAGAGAAAACTTTGTTAATAACTAGTAAATAATAACAAATACAATATATAAACCATGGTAAGTACATAGCACAATGCTTGACTATAAATTTAGTCTCATTATTTGTGCATTTCAATGCAGACAAATGTTGTTTGTTTTTGTTTGCTGCTGCTTCTTCTAGCGGAGAAGCGCCAGCGCACGCACAAATTGTAGTTGGTGTATTTATGCAATTCGCATTTACATCAAATCTGTGTGAATGTATTGGTGGTTGACTAACAATATTCATATTGTTTATTTTTGCAGAACAAGCTAAAGTCAAGCCAGCATCGTGACAAGGTGAAGAAATTTATCTCACTAACACAGACAGGCGAACAGACAGCCATTTTCTGCCTGCAACAGAATGATTGGAAAATGGATTTGGCCAGCGATAACTATTTTCAGAATCCTGAATACTATTATCGTGAGCTCGATCGCAAGCGTATCGAGCAGCTATTTATGCGCTATCGCGACCCAACTGATGCCCAGAAGATCAGCTCATCGGGTGTCATAAAATTTCTTGAGGATCTGGAATTAAGTCCTGACTCCAAACTTGTGCTCATCATTGCCTGGAAATTCCACGCAGAGGTGCAGTGCGAGTTCTCGCGGGATGAGTTTATTAATGGCATGTGTGACTTGGGCATAGACAGCATAGAGAAGCTCAAGTCGAAATTGCCATTGCTGGAACAGGAATTGAATGATGCTGGCAAATTTAAGGATTTTTATCATTTCACTTTTAACTATGCAAAGGATCCGGGCCAAAAGGGCATTGATCTGGACATGGCCATTGCGTATTGGTGTATTGTGCTCAGCGATCGTTTTAAATTCTTGGGCATCTGGTGCAAGTTCCTCGAAGAGAAACACAAACGTGCAATTTCAAGGGACACTTGGAATTTGCTGCTGGATTTCGCCACCAACATCGATGATCGGATGAGCAACTATGACGCGGAGGGCGCTTGGCCCGTGCTAATTGACGATTTCGTCGAATGGTGTCAGGAGAACAACCACCTTGCCACAGATCAGACGCAGCCCACGCAGCAATCAACGTCCCAGAAGAACATATCAAGCGCTTACCAGACTTCGCATAGTACAAATATGAATTATGGCTAACGATTGTTGCTTTATGTATACATATATTCTCATTAATTATAATTTTTTTTTGCTTTTTATTCGGATTATTTTAAATAATGAAGATAATAAGCAATGCGAGTTAATTTACAATAACACTTCGATAAAAGGAAAGTAAATAAAATTAGTAAATGTAACCAGCAAATATTCATCTTAGAAGCTGTATTTAAGGCCGATACAATATTCAAGAGTATATCGATATGCAGCTTATCGATTTAATTTTCTGGTCTATCATCCCCAACTTTGTGTAGTTAGTGTGACCGTAACGTGCAAAAGACAATTGATATTGTAACAACGATTTTTCGTCGCTCTGGTCGCCTATTAGAGAATCTGCAACTATTTTATAGTTTGTTATAGCTTTGCGTGCGCTGCACGTAAGTGTGCGAATCCGCTATACTTGCAGCGTATATCATGTAATGTGCAAAAATTATACAAAGTGCATGTAACGTGTGTAACAATCAATTGTTGCCCCACACTCCCTGTGGTGTGTATGAGTGTGAGTGTGACCAAGAGTGCGTGTCTGTGCGTTTGTTTGCCTGTGTGCGTAAAAGGCAGCCAGTGGGCGGCTCATAAGGAGTCTACACCAATCATCACACACGCACACACAGTCAACGATAAGGATGTATTTGCCTTGCCGCTGGCACTGAGCTAGGTGTGGAGCACTCGGCGCTGAATGACAAATGTATGTGTCATTATCATTGTTGTGTTGCTGCTGTTGGGGCCTCTGAACGCAATTAAGTTGATTTTTGTGTTTCTATTGTGCGTCAAAATCCTTTAAATAGAACCCCCATCGAGAGCTGCCCTTGGCGGTTTAAGCAACCACTTGACAAATAATAAAACGAATTAAATTATCATGCGAATAAAATCCAAACAGATATACAGTGAACCTATACAAATACACACACACGA